CCCACATGTTTTTCAAAACAACTCGAAAAGAATTCCCATTGTCTAACTTGGAAGAGTATCCTCCAGTTCTTAATAATTTGATGGTTCTGCCCACTCATCTTGATTCATATTGGTTGTCAATCATATCCATAACTATGATAACTTTCAAGACATCCCAGAAAAGAACTAGGGCATTATGCAGATACTATGAGTGAAGACTGATCCATATGAGACTGAACATTTAATTTGAAAGGGGGAAAAACAATAGAATCTTACACTTGTCTTACGTCGACCATTTTTTAGGGCATAAGCCAGTCTCTTGAGTTGCCAGTTTTTCAATTGTACTGGGCTTTCGTATTCATTATCTTCATAACCTTTTACTGATGCATCTACATCATCATCATCATCATCATCATTATATTCTTCTTTGTCTTCTTCTTCTTCTTCTTCCTCTTCTTCGTCTTCTTCTTCTTCTTCTCCTTCTCCTTCTCCCTCTTCAAGTCTCAGATCAACTTCATGTTTTATTTCCTGATTTTCCTCATCCAAAATTGATTCAACGTCTCCTGATAGGTTATCACCTTTTAGAGCCTCTTCCAATTCACGTTCGAGGTTTGCAAGGTCTTCCTCTGTTATTTCACTATCAACATCATCCATAGAGAGATCATCGTTTTCCAAATCTTTTTCAAGCTGAAGAAAAAGCGTCTCAACAGCATCTTCACCTAAATCATCATCTGTCTTGTCTCTCTGAGCCAAACTTCGCTGCATTAAACAAAACTCAAGCATAAAGTTTGCAAGTATTTCTACCAGCAACCATGTAGGTATAATAATAATCATCATCATCATAACAACAATAATATAAAATACAATACCAATTCCATTGTTCAGAGATCAGGTATCACCATATCAAATGGTCTTTCACTCAATGAAACCAAACAAAACATGACACACATGAAGGGTCAGGGATTTCCAGCCTTCATTCCTAATTGGACTAATACTTGACTAGTTCAAATTCATTCCGAAGAAACTCAACCAAAACCCCCTAAAGATATGCAACTTTAAACAAAATTTACATCCATCTTAACCAGGTTGTATAAAACAAAACTTCTTTAGCAACTTCAATCAGCTCATAAACCATTGTGACATTATGCCGGGCTATGAAATCAATCTAATCCCAAAATAATACAAATCGATAAAAGTTTATGTTTTAGTGGTATGCTGTCATCTCATAAAGATAAGCTTCACGTGATAGATGCTAAAATGGTGTTTTCTCCAGAGAATTGCGAGTACAAACACACACACACACACACACTATCTCTAGATAATCAAACAATTAAAGATTAAATTTTCTTTCGTCCAATAAAATGAAAGACCAAAGAAGATAGTTATACGGAGTAGATGATATAGTGGAGAATGGATTTTCTCTTGCCTTTTGTTTCTTCTTATTCGAGGGAGCGGCAGCAAGGCCGTGGTGGTCGCTTCGCCTGCGAGAGAAGGTGAGAACAGAAGAAGAACGGTGACGAGGGGAAGGGAGGTTGGTTCTGCTACAGGGCTGGTACACTGAGAAGCCGTTGATATGGGAACACCGAAGCGTGATGGAAATGTGCAGAGATGTTGAAGCAGCCATAGCCAACTTTCTACTTCAATTTTCCATCCTCGTCTGAAATTTTATTTTTAATTTTTTATAATGAACTGAGCAAATAGATTCCGAACTACTTCCTCCGCCCTCGCTACCATCCACTGTTCCTCTCCCACATAAGTAATGATTAGTTGATATTCAAATCACATGTGACAATTTGAGTGGAACGAGCTTAAAAGATAAATGAAACAATCATCAACTCCATCTTAAATTGCCAACCATCAACTCCATCTTAAACAAAACTCATACCCCTTTGGAAATTATTTTTATAAAACAATTTTTAATGAATTATTGGTTGAGTTAGGTCATAAATACAAAAGTAACTTGAAAAGGGTATTATAAAAAAAGGAGAATTTTGCCTTATATAGGACTAAAATGTCAATGAAATTCTAAAATAGGAGTATGTGTATTTGTATTCCCTAAATACTCCCTCCGTCCCTTGAAACTTTGCCAACTTTCCTTTTTTGGATGTCCCATTAACTTTGCCACTTTCCCTTTTAAGTAAAGAATTTGTGGTTCCAGTTAATTCTCTCTCTTCTGCACAAACCTCAACCACACAGTTTTTACTTTATTAATCCCCGTGTCAGTCAAACTTGACAAAGTTTTAAGGGACGGAGGTAGTAGGACTTTTCATCCAAAATTGCCCTTCTTTTATTTCCTTCACTCACGCACACCGACCATCGGGCTAATCATCTTCTTAGCTCAAATCTTCTCCGTCAATCTTCTATTTTCTTCTTCACCCCTTCTCCGTCATTCTTCACCATGTAATCTGACCTCCTCCTCGTCTTCTATCATCCGCTCACAATCTCTCTCAAATAAGGTTGCAAGTCGGCGAACCTCTGAGTGTGGCGAGCGGCGGCGAGCCTTTCTTCTCCTGTCATCATCTCCAGCCTGCAGCGAGTAGCGACGATGACTAGCAAGAGCTTCAGGAAGTAGTGAATTCAGATTTGGTGCAGTAAAGTATCTCGTTTTCACAATCCTTCGTTCTCCTCAGCCTCTTCTTTTATGGATCTGCCTTCCAGCTTTTCTATTTCGTTGCCTAGTTGAGAAAAATTTGAGATGTTGTTTTGGATGTTCTTGGTTAGAGAAAAATGCCAAGTTATTATCTGATGCCATCAAAATGACATTTTTTCGCTTCAAAGTTTCATCTTTTTCTTGGAAAAGCCATTAAGATGGTATTCTCGTTTCATGTTGGAACATTTGTAGAAATGTTGGCATCAACGCCGACGGCGCCCAGATCTGCAGCGGCGGGGGTCGAATTTGCAGCAGTAGTTGGACGTGTAGAGGTGGTGACTGACGACTGGCGTCCGCCAGATCTGGGAAGATCTACCAGTGGTGGCTAGATTTGCAGCAGCGACGATAAGATCTATATTGCCGACAGTCAGATGTGCAGCGGCGGTCAGTTCGGCAGCGGCCGACGACGGTGGCGGTGGTAGTGGCCAGGGACTGGCGGCGGTCGGCGTTCTGTTGGCGACAACAAGTTATGCCAAGCTTCAGGGTATTTAGGGAACTTGTAAAACTTTGCTCCTATTTTAGCAATTAGTGATTTATTATTTATCCCTATTTAATTAAATCCCCCAAGGAAACAATATTGTGCAAAAATGTGTATTACATATACAAAAATATTTTTTTGGTTGTACACCTCTTGTTTTTACATTAATCCTTCCCATTTTTTAACTCCTCTTCCCTCTTCTCTAACATGAACACCTCTCTTTTTTCTTTCTTTTTTTCTTTCTTTCCTTTCTTTTTTCTCCTTCATCCTCATCTTCTTTTCCTTTTTCTTTCCTTCGCTCTACTTTTTTTCTTTTTACCTTTTACTCACCATCATCTTCCATCGTCATCTTCATTATTATCTTTCAACATATTTTCACCGAAAAGTTGTTGTTTGAGAATGACCGATAACTTGTTGGAAAGTCACGGAAAATTAGAGTCACCTGATTTTTGTCTTTATGTTACTAAATAGTGATAAATATTGTCTATAATGAAAGATGAAATTAAAAACTAATGACATGCTATAAACTTCGTCATTGAAAAAAAATATACGTACACATACACTGGTTTTCTTCCAGTGTCTGTGTACACATACAAAAAATGTTTAAAAAAGTTAGAGTTAGATTATATTGAAACAAATGTTTGTATACACATACAAAAATTGTATATGTGCACACATTTTTTGTCTATACAGACAACTAACAACTAATGTATGTGATTGTACACTGACATTGATTTTCGTGCAACCACCATGACAGATGCACAAAAAATGTACACCAATAAGTGTGATTTATACACAAATCAATTTTTGTTCATACAAACAATTTTGCAAAAGTGTCTATATTGATATTTTTCGTATGGTGAATTTAAAAAAAAAATAAAGAGGTTGCAACTCAAGGTTTATACAGAGATTTTTTCCATATTAATGTTAATTAATCAATTAATTACGAAAATAGGGTTGGGTTAAAATTAATTACCAAAATACTGCTGGGTTAACCATGGTCGGGGTAAGTCGCCCAACGGTTGGGCGACTTAATCTTTAAGTAAAAACGGGGTCGGGGCAAAGAAAGACAGAACACTTCCTACCCAAAGTGAAGAGCAGCAGCAGCGACCGACGAATCCCCCCACCAGCAGCGAGCGACGACCGGCGAATCTCAAGCTCCGGCGAGGTCTCCTCCATCTTCCCAAGAATCCTTCATCTCCATCCTCTTCAACACTCTTTCTTCTTTCTTCTAGGTAAATCAAAATTCATTTCATCTCATATTGAACTTAGGGTTTTGAATGTTTGAATTTTCGAATTTTTAGATTATGAATTGATTGTGAATTCAGTTGTTATGAAATGTGGATATGTATGAAAGCTTTAAATTTGATTTAAATTTGATTGGAAATTTTAATGTGTATTTTGACATTTGGGCATTTTGGTAGATTTGAATGTAGCTAAATTTGGGTATTGAAATGTAGACTTGAATGTAGATATAAAAATTTGGGTAATTTCATATTTAAATGTGAATTGTTTGTGAATTTTGACTTTTGGATATATTACAATTTTGGTAGTTTTTTCTATTGAAAATTTGAATGTGTATAAAGTGTGTATATTGATGCCTACTCATAAATGTTGGACAATGAATTGTTATTAGAATATGGATTTCTCAAGCTTCCCAATCGTGTGTCATTGGGGAGGGAACTATTATGAGGATGTTGGGCAAATATGCCATGAAGGTAGTAGAACCAGCTTTGTCATGGTTTCTCGTGATGCTTGCATGCTCGAGATTCTACAAAAAAATACATGCAGCCACAATGATTCATCCTAGTTGTTCTTTGCGGTTGAAAATGAAATTTCCCATGAACGGGGGAAAGTACATGCTTATGCCCCTCATTGATGAGCTAGCTATAACAGATATGGGGGGCGTAATTCAGATGGAGGATATGTCGACGCTGGAGATATACATTGAGGAATCCTGTGACACTTATGGTACTCAATCAACATCAAATGATGTTGTATCTAGGCATGATGTCAAAGCAGGGGTGAATGCAGGGAACTCCTCAAAGGCTCTTGTACTGGGCATGGTTGTACAGGAAGATGGTAGGTATTTGCACAACGGTGCATCACTTGTGGATGAGCAGGGAAGTGATGATGATGCTGACGAGAACATCAATGGTGATGACATGACAGTATCTGATGAAGATGATGGTGATACTGTCACGGCAACTGCCCCATCTATCCACTTTACTAGAATGTATGATCTCTCTGAAGGCTTTACTGATGCGTGGATGAGTGGATCAGGTGAGAAAAGGTTTACCCCTCGATGGGGAGTTTGAGGTCGGTCAACAGTTTGACAACAAAGAACAAGTCATCAATATGGTGAGCTTGTATTCTATCAAACGAAACCAATTTTATCGGGTGATAGAGTCTGATAAACACGAATGGGTGACACAATGCAAAAGGAAGAAAGAATGTGATTGCCCCTGGAGAATACGTGCCACAAAGAACAAAGGCAACCTGGATAAGTGCCGCGAGCACCTGCGGGGTTTGTCGCATTTGCACGTCGACGACAGGGTACTAGCATATGTTCGTGCTGCGGGTTTTTATATTCTGCACAGATTAGTGGCTACTGTGCCTCTAGATAAAGCGCTTCTCACTGCTCTACTTGAGCGTTGGAGGCCGGAGACACACTCATTTCACCTCCCTGTTGGTGAGGTGACAGTGACATTGGGAGATGTTGTTGTACTTACTAGGTTAGAGGTTGATGGGAGAGCTGTTATAGGCACTGCTTGTCGACAGTGGGTAGATGAGTGTGAGCGGTTGTTAGGTATCTGCCCCGTTCTTAGGACTGACCTTCAGGGGTCATCTCTGAGGATGCCATGGTTGAGGGAGCACTTCCAGGTGCTTCCTCCGGACGCTGATGAGGTGATGATTCAGCAGCACGCCCGGGCATATATCTTGATGCTGATGGGAGCTTCCATTTTCGCTAACAAGAGCGGAAATGAGATTTAGGTGTTTCACTTGCCTATGCTAGAGAGGTTTGATGTAGCAGCACAGTTCAGCTAGGTAGTGCCACACTCGCTTATCTGTACAGACAGCTGTGTCGTGGCTGCCAGAGAGGGAGCACAGAGCTTGGGGGATTTTTGCTACTCCTCCAGATTTGGTCATGGGAGTATATCCACATTGAGCATCTCATTGTAGTCGCATATCATGGCATTGATGGACACCCACTGTCTGGTGAGCCTACAGGTGTTCTAGGACCGCATCACGTACGGGGCGAGGACCCTCTAGGCCGTCGGTATGTTTTCAATCGTTGGCATTTATGTGATTGTATGTTTAATGTAAATACATTAATAATATCCATATTAATGATATTGTTACACGAATGGTTAGATGGCTACTAGGCTCGGTGTGTACAAGGATGCATTTGATCGGATGCCTGAGGATCAGGTATGGTGTGGGTAATATAACATTAACTATAATATGTATTGAATAAATACTAATTTTGTATCTTTATGAATTAGATTACATGGATGCCGTATACACCTGAGATGTTTGCAGAGTTGCCCCCAGCTGGACGAGAGCATAGTCACATATGGCGAGCACGTGTGCCGTTGATATGTTTTGACATTATTGAGCTTCATTTGCCTGATAGAGTCTTGCGATAGTTTGGGTTTGAGCAGGTCATTCCACGGCCTATCGACACTTATGTTGAGTTGCATAGGCTGGATAGGCATGGGAAGCATACTGAGGATTAGGCACTCAGACATGTCCGATACGTCACTATGTGGGAAAGGCGAGCTGAGCTAGTTGTGGCTGGGACACCGACATTTGTCCCATCTGTTTCAGGAGACTAAATGGGATGATATTACAACATCACTCGTTTGTTTATGTCTCCTTCGTTCAGACTCCCTACTCATCATTATCAGCCTAGCTCCTTGGCTTTGCATCTTACAGTGAGTATATTAGTAATTAGTAAAGTAAGTCAATTTATTTATGTAATACTTGTATGTATTTCAGTGTAATTGTAATTGTGTTTCATATTTCAGACACGAGCTTTGCAGCGCATACATTAGCGGGCTACTGCCACTGTGACTGATACTCATGATGTGGACATGTATGGACAGGCTCTGACAGACATTGCCTCCTTGTGTTCAGATGTGTTGGGGCAAGTCGACTATAGGCCTCTTATACACATGCCCCCATCTCAGGAGATGCCATCCATGTCTAGTGTAGCGGCGGCTTCATCATCCGAGACAGCATGAGAGAGTGGTTCTTCAACCACGACAACAGCGTAGGCGTAGACATGAGCAGCAACATCTCCAAGACCAAGCTGACGATGAGAATTTGCAGTTTGTCTTTTGTATTGCAGTTTTTCTTATACAGTAGATGTTGTAGGAACAATTTACAACATTTTACGTATTTTCTCTTGTAAACTCTTGTATGTTGTCTTGATGTGTTCGAGTATGAATATTAGATGATTACTTGTTATGAATATTGGATGATTGTACTGTATTATACCGGCTATGAATGTAAGGTTTTGTATTTGATTTGTAAAGGGTATTTACAAGGTGTTTTTTATGTTGTTGAGATTAGGTGTTATGTATGTGATTGTGAAGACGTGTGTTGTATGTTTTATAATGTGTTGTATCAGGCTCGTAATACTTAAACAGGAGAAGAGAGACCTTATTTATAGCAAACAGATGAGTCCGGGTTGAACTGGGGCGAAAAACCTGTTAAAATGTTGTTTTCGGACCTAGGCACGATCGTGCGTCCCAGGGTACGCACGATCATATATCAGGTGTAAGTCGCCCAACGGTTGGGCGACTTACCCCTAATCATGGTTAAGTCCAGCAATAGATCGGTAATAACTTTTTTCCCAGCATTATTTTCGTAATTAATTAACTAACATTAATTCGAAAAAAAACTAGTTTTATACACTTTATGGCAAAGAATGCTTTGTTTTATACGGAGTATGAGTATCCAATCTCCTGATTAGAAAAACTAGAACATTGCTTGCCTAATTTGGCTAATTTTTGTTGACAATCAAATAGTGGCAGTTGGATTGGATGCGTATAGAAGAATTGTATAGCCAGTTCGGTTTCCCTCTTAGGAAACTCGCCCTGCCGCCGGTTTTCGCCCGTCTCTGACCGCCGAGGTGAACCGTCTGAATTCGAAATGGCCACTGTGAGCTCTACAGTGTTGCCGTCCTCATCAAAATTCCGATGGAACAAACTTTCAGCCTACGCATCTCGCATCTATTTTTTTCTCATAATCCTTCAGATACCACTTTTCAGGTATACAAAAACTAGAAACAGGTTTAGATGCCACTCTGCCTTGGGATCCGCTATTTGTTCTCCATTTCCGACTCTTTCGATATGTATCATGTATTCAAAGTCCGGTTAAGTTCTGTTTTGCTAAATTAGCTTGCCATTTTAAATTAAACATTAAGGTAGTATAGCAGAAAACGGAAAAAATAGCTCGAAAGGTAATTTAGTAAGGATTGTTTACAGGTTTATTCAAGCTTTCTGTGGGTGTTTCCTAGTCGATGTTGTTAATGATATGGAACTTTATATATTCTGGTTCTTTATAGAGCGTGTGTAAATTATGGTGGGTGTAAAAATTAATTGATAGTTCAAGATTTTAGTTTGTCCAGGGGTATGCATTAGATGACAAGCTATTTGTACTTCGTGTGAAAAAGGAAAATTGATTTCATTTGAAGGGGCCGGCATACTTGACTCATCAACAGGTTAAGTTGCATCAAATGGGTAGAAAAATGGTGTAGATAAAACAATCAGTGTTTAAGACTGAAGGGTTATTGAGCAGACTGGCTGACTGTTAACGTATCCAGGGACGGATAAACGGCCAGAAGGGTAGGAAACTCGGCTGTGGTGGTTTTTGTGTTAACCAACCTCATGCTCTAGGCAATGAAGATATTCGCTGGTTCTAAGTCGCAGGCAAACAAATTAACTTCCAAAAAGATAACTTTATTTGTTTGGCAATCGGTTGTTAGCTGGTTATCATAGCGATTTGGTAATAGCTGGTTGTGTTAGCTATTTTGGTTGACTGATTATGTTAGTTGTTTTGGTTTGCTGATTATGTTAGCTTATTGACAATTGCTGTTTAGTTAATTAGTTGTTTAAGAATAGTTGTTCAAGTGTAAAATGACGAATAAGGACATTAATATGTATTTTTTTTCACTATTGCTTATAAAAACAATGTTAACTACATTTACTTACATAGTATCAACCATTTGTATTTCAGAAATTATAAAAAATGATAAATGAGTAGTACAACTGTATATGGCCAATACAATAAATATATACGGAGTAAAAGATTTATTTTGATAATTTGATTTGAATAACATGAATTCAAATTACAGAATAGCACTAGTACCAATAAATATGAAGAAGTGTCAAAGTGTTTATCATAAAATAATTGACATAATAATGCAAAAGGATTCACAGCAAACCAAATATTCAATATTGAATGCTTCCAGAGTATTAGAGCAACTTATTAAGTGGATCAATAAATAAATAAGACTACATAGCTCGCATAAACAGATATATCCTTCTTCGGTGGCTCTTCCAATATACTCCGTATATACCTGTCCATACAGGGGATGCATAGAGAGAGAGAGAGAGAGAGAGAGAGAGAGAACATATATATTTAAGGGAGAGCACAAGGGAAGAAAATGGAGAGGCCGATTGTAAACGCTCCCCACCACAGAGTGTCCAATTTGAGCTGATTGGGTATAATAAGCTGATCCAACAATCCATTTACCAAACAGTAATTTACTGCTTCAATGGTCAATAAAATTAACTATAGTCAAAGAAGCCAAAAATGGGTTGATTAGCTATTTTCCAAACAAGGCCATAGCAAAAATATCCCAAAGCTAAAAGGAAAGAGTTCCGAAGAAATTGAACTTTAATAATAAAATGACTAATCATAGTATCATACTAAGAACAATAGTGTCTAATAATGGCTTAGTTAAACAAACTTAATCAGCTGATCAGCACAACTAGCCTTTATGGCCAGCCCATACTCAGATCATCTGCAGTGGTAAACCAGGCCCATGAATGGGTCCCTATTATGTATATGCATGGGATGATGGGATTATGATTTTGTTCTTCCTCAAAGCCCACAATTTATGGTACCAAAGTGGGAGCTTTATGTGATATATAGAGAAGTTGATAGTAAGAATGTAAGTTTACACTTAAAAAGTGTGGGGTGAGGGTGGAGGGGCAATGATCTACGCTAACACTTCATTTGAAACAATTTCTCAACTTCCATGTAAAATTATATTCCTGTCAGATATAGAATGTGCGCTGCTTCCGTCAATTAGAAGCCATGTACTAATGGAAATGTGTTTGTTGGAAGCTACATACATGAGGATTAGGTCATGTTTTCTCATCAATGTGTTATATCTAGCTTAGCTACACTTAGACATAAGCTGAATTTATCCCTAGTCCTTGATCCTTATCCAAGATAATCATCCAGTAGGCTTGAACTGTCTAAGAGACTAAGACTGGATTTGGTGGTGGTCTATTGAAGAGAACTAACCTTAATAACTAGATGCATATCTGGTGTTAAAGTTGAATGTTTCTACGCAAAAGCATTTGCCATTTATAACTTTCTTACTTCAAGTAATGTGTCCTTCGTAAGAATGGTTAAGCTGCTGAGCCACATTATGCCTTCAGATTTCTATCCAATGCCTTGCAATATTACTATAAGCATCAATTTTGTAATGTTTGTATTCTAGTACAGAAGTAGGTGCTAAGTGTTTTCACATTTGATTTACTTATTTCCGCCGATTCTTTTTTTTTTTTTTTTAAAGTTTTTACCCCAGGGGACGTCAGGGGGAGGGGGTTTGGGGGGCCTGGGGTAAACTTGGATCAATCTTACTCCATTGAGAATTGAACCCGGGACGTCCCATAAGGGAGAGTGAGCCGGCGACCAGCTGGGCTGGACCGCTTCCTCATTTCCGCTGATTCTGTATATTTTGCATTATATACTTTTCAGGGTTCCATGTAGATCTGGTATGTGCTCAACACCAATGCATGTCACATCTTCCCAGTTGATTGCAAGTGACATATTTCCCGTTCCAATTGTGAAGGCCCTCCTCTACCCTGGGGCAATCATAAATAGCTTAATCAAGAATATGACTGTTCCTAGTTGGGACAATTTGCTAAACATGTACAATCTGAATAACATAAAGGAAGCTTCCCCAGTAACAGACCTACAGCGCTTGGAGGTTTTCCACAGAAGTCCTTACCGCCTCTTCTAGTTTTATATCCTCAATCTTCTTACTTTATGTCAGTCTAAACTCTACATTAATGCAAATGTGAATACCATCCTGCTTTTATCTAATCGAGTACTAATGTGTTCCATATGCAGCTAGTTGTATTATGATGAAATGATACTCTCAAATTATATACCATTGAATGTTCACCCACAAAGTAGATTGACAGACCTTATTAATCTAATAATCTCATATGCGGAATATTGACTTAGCATCCTTGCTTGTTAAATTTGGATTTTTATTAATTGTTACACATCAGTAATCCTAAATTTTAGAACCTAGAGCAATATCATTTTAATATGTTTCTTCATGTGCTTGCACTGGTGTGTGGGTTTATGTGCTTTAAGAGGACAAGCATTGTAACCTTCATCCAGAGGCTTCTAATATAAAAATAAGAAGGGGGAAAGGGGAGAGAGTACAAACACCGTTTTGATACCACAATTGACTGAGCTTAAAATCAGAACAAATCAATCTTGTTTTCTTTTCCACTGCCCACATGTAAGAGAATGGTTTGTTGTGTTTCCATAACAGAGGTTGAAAAAATCTCTATGGGTAAGATACAAATTTCATGGAGATTCTTTATGAGCCAATTTCAAATGTATCTGTAATTTCATTTGTCTTGCTTGACATTTTAATCAAATTTACAACACACCGTGCCACTGTTTTTTTTATGTTGGTTGTCCACCCTCATATTGATATCTCTTGTTGTCATGTCACATAGGTTCTTGCCGGAAGCTATTTCTCTGTAGCAGGTGCTCTCATTGGCATCATAAAGTCTGGAAGAATGAGCATGTTTGGAACACTACTTGTCATTTGGGGCCTAATAAAGGAAGGCATCCTTAACAAACAAGCAAACCCTAATCCTGCAAAAGCAGTGTATGTTTACCCAACAATGTTGATTGCCTTGGTTTGTTCATTCCTGTCTGTGAAGTATGACATCAAGAGGGTTATGAGAGGTGCTGCACCAGCAAGACCTGTGGCAAAGCCTCTTCAGAGATCTTCAAAAAACAAACTAAATTGATGTCAACCAGTGTCTGACAAGCTTCTTCTTTAAGTGCCTCGTTTGTAATATCCAGGGAACCTTCTCAAAATTCATGCAATCAAATTGCGGAAACGCTGCTTTCATAATGCAAGGGAGTTTATATGAAAAAATATTGAGAGAAGTATGAAAAAGCTGATATGAGCTGTGAACTGAGATCTGACTCTCTTTCTGCTTGGCCAATAGTTTGGAGCTGTTTCTGTTATTT